GGGGAGGGCTGTTGGGGGGCTGGGTGAAATGGGCACCGGGATTGGGGGAAAAAAGGAAGAAAATAAAAAGAAAGAAAACCTCAGAGACACAGAGGCCAGGATGGTGGTTGCCGGGCGGGAGGGCGGGGGGGTAATGGGGGCGAGCGGTGAGGGAGGGGCCTGGGCTTGGGGTGGTGAACGCACAACCGTGTGCAGATGACGGGCCACAGAATTACACACCTGACGGCCACGTGACTTCACCACAGTGTCGCCCCAATAAAGTCAAAAAATAGAAGCAAAACTCAAACTCACGACTCAGAAAGGAAGCGTAAATCACAGTAGTAATTTGGTAGCATTTTTTTAACCTACCAAATGGGTAAGTCTTTTCATTATAGTACCTACAGTTTGTGGATTTAAGTAAAATGGGTAGTTTCCTAAACAGAACTGATAAATGAGGGACAATATTAAAATACACATCAAAAGCCAAAAAAATTGATTAGAAAAAAGCCTTGTAAACGAAGTTTTTTTAAAAGTCTCTCTTCTGAGATGACCTTCTTTTTTTTTTTTTAAAAACAAGGATCTTTCTAAATTCATACATTCACATTTTTTTCTCCAGCAAGAGAGAGAATCTGGCTAAAAGGCCACAAAAGTGCAGATAAGAAAATGGCCAAAGCCCAAGGCCTGTGTGCAGGCTCCAGCGAAGAAGTCCCCAAACAAGAGGCTCTGCGTCCCTGTCACGGAGACCATAAACCCACTGCCCCGCGTTACCAAGAAAATAAATGCCTCTCGCCTCTGAAGACTTCCTATAAAACTACACACACCGACGAACTCCCAAGAAGTGCCGTGCATCAGAGAAGCACGCCGCCCTCCCCAGCACGGGGTGGACAGCAGTCCGTGCGTCGGCGAGCCGGCACGGCCGCTCTGCGACGCCCTCGGGGGCCCTCCCTGGGGGTCACCTTCCTGGACCACCCGCGTCACGGTCACCCTTTCTGCACCGAGCAGAGCAGCCCAGCCTCAGCCCCGAGTTCCAGGTCTCCAGCGCATGCTGCCTGAACGCAGACGGACCCTAGACACCCCGCCTTCCCCAGAAAAGGAAGCCGTGAGCCCACAACAGTCCGCTCCGACACGGCCCTGCCAAACGTTAAAAACCGAGGCTGGGAGCACCTCGCAGCCGCAGGGATCGACTACATGGGGAGGAACCCCCCCCAAAAAACAGTCATGCTCCGGAGGGCAGGCCCTTGGAGCACAGGCTTTGCCCAGCGGGCGAGGGTCTAGGGCCCCCGTCTGGGTCTGTGCACCGCCTGGCGGTGCTGGGAGCGGCTGCGCACGGCTTCAGTGCACGTCTCTTGAAGACTCTTTGAACACGTGGGCCCGCTGCACGATAGGTGGCTCTCGGGCGCACCTGCCCGCTGTGCGCTGAGTGCTCGGCAGTTCTGACCACAAACGGCAGGACGCCCGGGCCTCACCCTCCCGGGTCACCCCACCCTGCCCCGGCCACTGCCGGTTGTTTCCCTGGGTGAAAACCGTCCTCAAAGGGAAACGTTTTGCCGAAGCGGAAGAGGCGAACAAAAGAGCAGCAGCAGCTGTGACAGGCGCCCGCAGGGGCGAGCGCAGAGGCGGCCCCGGGCCGCGGAAAGGCCTCCCGGCGCGTGCGCGGCATCCCACGGAGGGCGCTCTGACGGCGGCCTGGTTCGAACTCAGCAGAACGCATGCGCGATTTTTTAATAAAGAAATCCCGTTTGGGGGGTGCCCCCGCACATTTCACCCGGGCGGTGTCTTCGGTGGTGAAGCTTCGACTCAGAGACAAGAATACGCGGACGCACCACTTGCTGGCTCCTCTTACACAAACTCCTGCCAGGCCCGCGGCAAAGGCTCCGGCCTCTGAGCAAAAGGGGCGCGAGAACACCGAGCTCCCGCGGCCATCACCTGTCTGAGAGAAGGCACCTGGGCGGGCCCTGAGAAGCGGCTCTGGGCTGGGGGACGGGAAGCAGGTGACACTTCCTGCTCGGAAGAGGCTCGCAGGGTGAGAGGACAAGCCCTTGAGATGGAACGGTCGGGCCAACACAGAGCGCACGTTAACGCCAGGCTGCGCCGCCTACGGCACCCACTCGCCTCGCAGACCGAGGCCGCGGGCTCAGAGCACGAGAGGCCAGCCTGACCCCGGCCGCCAGGGCGGGCCCGGGGCTCTCGGGGCAGCTCCACTGAGGGGGTCGCCACGTGCACCTCAGAGGCCCTGCTGTCAGGGCTGTGGGGGGGCCGCGGTGGGAGACCACAGGGGAACCCCGGGGGCAGCTGCGGAGTCAGGGCGAGCCCGGCAGCTGCAAGGACCAGGGCACATGCCTGTCACGCAGTGGGAGACAGAGGGCGCTTCCTGAGTCATTATTCTGAGGCTTCCTCAGAACCCACACACATGACGCTGCTAATGAACTTTCTGTAAGACACCAAGAAGGGCACGATGCCCCAGCAGGCCCTCCACTGGAAGACAGCGGCGCGAGGCAGCGGGGGACGCGTCCCTGGGACTGGCCCATGGCCCCACACAGGCTCCCAGGGGCGCCGCGCCGCGTGTGTTTGGAACAGCTGGAACAGGACTGTAAAAAGACAATCCTCAGCGTCTGCTCAATGTGACAGCCACATACTGAAAATAGAACATAAGAGAAATAAAAAGCGTTCCCCATGCAGGCGTCCATCTCCTTTGAAAGAGAAGGATCCGAAGGAAAGGAGAGCGGAGATGCGACCCTCAGAGCCCACAGGAGGTGCAGGCCGCGTCCCCAGGCAGCAGAGGACGGGGACAGGGCTGAGGGCGGGGCGCCGACCGCGGCCGCGGCCGGATCAGCGCACGCTCCTGCCGTCCTCCTCAGCGACCGCCTTCCTATCCTACTTGACGCAGCGTCACCCACCCCCCGCGCGTCTCTCCGTCCCGTGCTCCGGGATTCCCTTCGCTATATTCTTTCGTCTGCCCTCTCCTGCCCTAAAACGTCATCATTTGAGAGCACTAAGGAAAAAATACTCACTAAACTTAACTGGATTTTTTTAATCAATGTATCACTTACACTGCACTCAAAGTGACTTGGAAGAGAAATTATTTTCTATCACCCTCCCCGACAAATCACAGTAAAAGAGAGGAGAAAAAGAAATGCTACGACGGGGAGGCAAGTGGTGAACTCCTGGGGCGAAACTCCCAGGAGAGTCCAAGGGACGGCAGGGGCGCGCCCGCCACCGTCGGGGTCGGGGACAGGGGCGGGGGCGGGGGCGGGGGCAGGCGGGCTGTGGGGGCCTCGTCCGGGTCAGCGGCTCACCACCTCCGACATCCACACCGAACGTCGGCAGTTCCTTCAAGAAGCCTCACTTCTTTCACTTTCATTTTAGTGAGAACGAGAGGAACAATCCAGGATTTAAGAAACACATTCCTTTCCCATGACAGGGTTTATGGGCATCGTGATAAAACTCAGTCCCTATCCCACTGTTAAAACGAGAAAGAATAACCGGGTGCGGCCTCTCACGACCGTTGTCCAAGGAAGTCCAGGGCCACCCTTCTCCCCCTTCCCGTGAAACCCAGATGCGTGACTGGCAAGGGGAGGAAGGACCCCCCAGGCAGATCCCGTTGGGCCTCCACGCGAGGAGGCCGGTTTCTACCAGGACGGGCAGGTGAGGAGGGGCGTCAACCGCCCTCCAGCTGCACTTTCCCCGGGAAACTCTCGCGGGGCCGCTCTCACAAACGCAGGCACGAGAGGCACCGACTGAAACGGGGCGCCGTTCACCCCCTTCGCAACCACAGCCGCTCACGGGCAGGCCTGTTTCCTCTCCACCAAGGACGGTTCCCTTCCCTGGAGAAGCAGGGGGCCGCCCCTGACGTCGCCCGGGCCACGTGCCGGCGGCTTCCAGACGCACTCCCCTGCCGGACGAGGCAGCAAAGCAAGCCCCCGGCCCTCCGTGGTGAGAAGGCCCCGCGGGGCGCGCCCGCGCCTGCGAGACGGCGCGCCTCCTCCTCCCAACGCAGGATCCCACTGATGCGTCTCCCCGGCTCCGCTTGGTTCTGAGCAGCCCCCCAACAGGGCAGGGCCCCCCGCTGCTGACAGGACTCCGCCCGACCCCGCGGAGGGGGGCGCAGACCCCGAGACGCCCTCTCTAGGCCGCCCGCCGCCCCAGCCCGCGTCGCTGGGAACGGCCAATGCAGCGGCGCTGCGTTCCCTCGTCTGCGGCCCCAGAGCTCGGGGCTGCCAGGTGCTCGCACCTCGGGGAGGAGCTGAGCATCTCAGAGCTGCGGCGGCGACAGCGGGCGGGGAGGCACCCTGTGCCGGGCCGCGGGGAACGCTTACTTACAGCCGCACCCCTCTGTGCCCTCTCAGAAACAGAAAAGCCTCGGATAGGAACACGGGGAGTTCGAGCTCATCCTCTGCCCCGGGCTGAGCACACGGCAGCCCCATCCTCACAGGGCGACTCTTCGAAGAGCGCACTTTCGCTGTAGAGGAAAGATGGCATGACCAGCCATGCACCGCCCCCCTGTAGCACGTGTGACGTCAGAACCGCTCACGTGGACGCTGCCTTCTGTGTGAGCGGACAAGCTTCTAGCACCTCCAGCATCTGCTGGAGTCGGGGTCGCGACAGACAAGGGAGCCGACTCCCGGGGCCACAGACCACACCTCCCACGGCCGCTCCACTCGTCGGCCCGCGGGGCACGGCCCGGCGACGGGGACGCCTCGTTAACCGATGGACACCCCCACCAGCCCGCACAGACGCCTGTGTGTTCCCATGTCCCCTCTGGCAGCACACAGGGCGGCCACCTGGCCACAGCGGTGACAGACACCGGGGTAGCCCGTGTTCTGTCCGTGCAGAGGCCCTGCCTCGCATCGAGCCCTCATGGGCCCTCACGGCGGAGGCTGCCGGGCAGGTGCGCAGAGTGGAGCTGGCTCCTCCAGCTCCGCAGCCCCGCCCCCGCCGGCTCAGCTCCCGGCACCCAGCGCAGTGCCGGGACGGCACAGGCTCTCAAAAAGGCGTCCTTTCCCCCTTCAACACGCACTTACCCTTCGAAACGACACGACGTAGAACGTGTCTCCCCGCCGGCGGATGGCGTCGAAGAAGTCCTGGTGGCTCCCGGGGGAGGCATAGTACACCTGGAGCTCGCTGCCCGCGTTCCTGCTGAGCGGGGAGAAGGCAGAGCTCTTACCCCAGGAAGAGTCGTGCGCTCAGAGGCACCTCCCTGCGAAGCCCACGTCTGAATTCTAAGAATCTCAACCAAAACATCCGCACTGTTTTGGCAGTTTTTTATACCAACATTCTGAGAAGCCCAAGGTCAGGAGATTTTTTAAGATTCAATTCGCTGAAGCTAAAACTCCAGTTCTGAACTGACACTAAGACGTCCCGCGTCGCCAAGTGCCCGTGAAGACGGGGAAGAGCCGGAAAACAGGCACCGGCCCTGGTCTGCACGACAGCCCATCTGGCAACAGGATGAAGCCTGAGGACAGCCCCTCTCCCCCGCGGCTGGCTCTGCGCCGTCTGCTAAGCCGTGGAGGTGGGAAGAGCTCAGGACTCGGGACAGAGGGGCCTGGCTCTGGAGTCCTGCCCTTGTCCCCAGGGGCGTCCACAGGGAGACCCCCGCGGGGCCCGGGGGGGGGGAGCCGCGTCGGGAAGCACCCACGGCATCTCTCAACGACTTCTGGCCCGATGTGGGAAGTGCCCCCGCGGCGCCGACAGGGACACCTCAGACCCGGCCCTTCCCCAGAGGCACCCCAGCGACAGCGACCAACCAAGCTGAGCAGCGTGAGCCGACACTCCTGAGTCAGAGGAGAAGCAAAGAGAGAGTGCTTATCCTTCTCCCAGAAAAGCTCACGCTTTTGTCTCATACGTTCTCCTTTCATGGTTTCCACGAATCTTTACTTTCTCAATCTCAACTAACTGAAGGGGAGGAGAGTGGCCTAGACCGGAACCCTAAGGGAACCAGGAGACTCCCTCCGAAATCGCCCCGTCTGCCCCCGGGCCACGTCTGATGGCGAGGGCCTGAATGCGCCGCTGGAGGTCATTCACGGCTCCCTCGCTCTGTGCAGACTCTGAGTGCCACACCCCTGGGGAGGAGGGCGAGGTTCCTGCAAGCCCCCAGCTGCCGCATCTTCACCGATTGGTGTCCTTTGTTTCCCACTCCGGTCCCGAGGCACCTTCTGGAACGTGGGCGGGTCTCTCGCTCACCGCCACGGACTCACGCTGCCTCGGGCCGGGCTGAGGCTCCCCTGACACACAGCCCGGCCTCCCTGCACCAGGGACACCGCACTCTAGCGCACACGTGGGCCACGTGGAACACGCGTGGGGCCCAGGGCAATTGCCAACAAAGCACAGAAACGTGAAAAACGTGGCATTACCCCACCTGGAAAGGGCCCCTGCAGCAGGAAGGCGGGCGCGGCCCTGCTAGGCTTCTCCTGGCACAGGTCGCACGCCAGCAAGCAGCCACAGAAGCACTCCGAGCGCTGGTTTGGGTGTTGCCAGCCCATCTCCGCAAGCAGGCGGGTTCCCAACCACCAAAGCCCAGGCCGCGAGGACCCGCCCGCCTTGGTGGGCGCCGCCCTGCTCACCTGATGCTGGTGGTCTCCGTGTACTGGACGGCCAGGAGCTGCGAAGGCGAACCCTGCTGCAGCGCGCCCTGCAAGAGAACGCGCGGCCGGCACCGCAGGCAGACCCGTGAGGGCCGTCCCATGCCGGCCCGTTCTGTGCCCGTGCCCACCGAACGCGCATCCCAGCAGCCCTACGGTTTTCCTCCCTGTGGAGCCCCATGCGCTAAGTCTCCGCGACGTGGCACCAACACAGACAATGGGACTGCTCAGCCCGCCCGGGCCTAGAGGTGCGTCTCAGGGAGACAGAGGCATTCCAGAGGCTTCCCACGGAGCCTCTGTTTTAATTCCCCAAAGTTTAGTGCAAGTATTTCAGGTTTTAGGACCAAGTCATGGAAGACTTATTGAAAAGATACTTCATGTTTGTCCAAAATAACTATTTGCCCAACAAAAAGTTCCTCAAGTGTGAAAAGCCCAATCACAAAGCCGGACCCTATTGTTTGCTAAGTTACACACAAAACCCTCCCTGCCTGAGTACCCCTGTGGACTCCGCCGCCACCCGAGGGAGCTCGCCAAAGCAGGCCGGGCCTCCGCCCCCGGAGCGGAAAGCCCAGTGACAGCAACACGAGACAGACAGACCGTGGACGGGCCGCTGCCTCTCTAAGATTCACGCCTCTTAACAAAGAGACCTGGGAAACTGGCAACGAGCTTTGCCATTTGTGACTGCAGGGATTTAGCAAAAGGTCGCCGTCAGCAAAACTGCGAGGTAGAGAGTACTGTGAAGTGAGATTTCCCACCAAACCTCCAGTGATGTCGTAGGTCTGTCCACTTTTCCCTTTGGTCCTGTTGCCTTCTTGCCTTACGTACTTTGAGGCTGTGTTACGAGGAGCCTACATGTTCAGAACTCTGTCTTCTTGATTACACGCACCTACGTCACCATGAGATTTCTGTCTTCACCCCTTGTCACAGCCGCTACCTGGGAGTCGCTTTGTCTGGGTAACAGAACCACGCCGGCTTCCTAAGGCTTAATGTTTGCAGAGTATCACGCTTTTTCACCCCTCACTTCTTCATCTCTGCGTGTTTACGTTTAAAATGTTATTTCTGCCCTGACTGGTGTGGCTCAGTGGGTTGGGCATCCTCCCAGAAACTGAACGGCCAAAGGTTCAGCTCCTGACTGGGGCGCATGCCCAGGTTGGGGGCCGGGTCACCGGCTGGGGACATGGGGGAGGAAACCGATCACTGTGTCTCTCGGACATCAGTGTTTCTCTCTTCCTCCTTCTCTTCCCCCTTTTCTAAAAACAAATAAAATCTCTAAAATGCTATTTCTTGTAAATAGCATATAGTTGGGTGGTATCTTTTAAAAACCGCAATTTAACAGTCTCTTCCTTTAACTCTATCACCAACGTGGCCGGCCTTGCGTCCACTACCCGGTGTGTGTTTTCTGCTCCTCCTATTTGTTGGTTTGTTTGCTCTTTCCTTCCCCCTCGTGGCTGAAACGCGTATTTATGTCCCGCTGTCACTGCCTACGCCGGGGTTTCAGCCGCACTCCCCGGCCCGGCGCCCAGGGGCAGGCGGCTGCGCAGGAGCGGACAGCTTTCGCCGCCTCCGCGCCTGTCGGCGCCCAGCGTCCTGTGCTCCGCGGCTACGTAACCAGCAGGCCCCACAGCAAACCGCCCTGAGTTTTACTTTAAGAAACAAAAGTCTTCCAGTGACATTTATATACACGCAACCACAAAATAAAGATACTTAAAACAGGGGCATTTATTGCTGCCGACATCTACCAATTCTGGCGATCTGCCTCGCGCTGCCTGGGCTCTACCTGACACCAGTTCCTTTAGTCTACACCTCTTCTCTCGTTTCTTACAGTGCCGGTCGAGAGGCAAAGCACGGCAGTTTTTGTCCATCTGGAAATATCTTTACTTTGCTTTCATTTTGAAAAATACTTTCACTGATTTGACCCTTTACCTTTTCTAAAAAGTAGAAAGAGGGCAGACTTATGAAATGACAGAAGCCAAATCAAGTATATAATGCCCAGAAATGACAGAAACGTCAATCATAGACGACACCTTACTGCACGCGTGGCCAACCTGTCCGACACCTGCAGGCGAGGGTAAGGCTGGCGTGAGGAGGAGGGCCCGGCAGAGTGGCCGAGGGCGGCCCATGCCCTGCTGGGGACGCGGCTGGAGGGAGGACCCCATCATCCCTGCCAGAGCGACTTCTCCCCCTCGGCTGACGCAGACCGTCCGCCTGCCCTGCCCCGCCCTGCCCTGGCCCACATTTCTGACCGCTGTCCACACTTGCAACAGGAGGAGGTGCACCCAGGATGCAGAGAAGGGGCGAGACTTTAGACTACACATCTCCACGTGTCCCAAGTCTGTGAAATTGAACATTATCTTCGTTGCATTAAAATTCCTTCCAGATTAAGGAACACTAACCACCCCTTACACAGTAAACTCTTGTTTATTCATCTAATGAACAAGAAAAAATATTCTATCAAAAAATAAGACAGAGCAACTCATTTAGGCCACAGGTTTAACCTGTGCGCCCGAACCGGAGCGCACCTCAGTGCGCACATGCTCGGTCACGGCCGCCCCACCGCATGGCAGGCTCCACGCAGGCCGGCCTGCACCATGCTCACCACTGCGCCCCCAGGCCTGGGCCTCCGAGGAGCCCCAGGCACCGGCCAGGGGCGCCGGGACAGCACGCAGCGTTTCGGGGCAAACGACACCCAACCTCAGGTCCCCACGGGAGCCACGCCCCTTGCAGGGCTCCCTGTCCAAGCACAAGGCCCCGCTCCGGGGGGGGGCCTTCCCCTCCAGCCCACCCTACATTTCAGCGCCTTCTTTCTCAAAAGCTCTAAGAACAAAGGAAATAAACGGTACTATTTATTCCACCGCGTGGGCCAAATATTTGATACAGATGCCTCGAAAGTGGGTCTGTGGGAGAGAGCGGGGAACAGCCACAGGCTGCGGCAGGGAAGCCGCGGGCGTGGAGCCCACCAGTGCTGGCGACCCGGGGCACAGGGCGGGGGGCGGCTGCTGCAGGAAGCCGCAGAGGCGGCGAAGGGTCAGGCTCCCCGAATCTTCCAGGGACAGGGCTCCCCAGCGGGCGGCGGGGGGCCTTCCCACAGAGACCAAGCCCTCAAGCCCTGCTGCGGGACGAGCAGAAAACGCACCTGAAGCACACGGGTTTTGTGCTGATGGTTCGTCATTCTTCTCGACTTGGTCCTTTCCACCTCGTGTCTGTGAACCCAACCTCGAAGTTCATGATTTAACCTGAAAAACAGCCTTGTTCATTATGCACACTACACAGGAGTAACGATTAGAGATCAATTCCACCACATTCCATAGGTTGCAAAGAGCATTCCCAGGGCCTGCAGGTTCAACATTGCCACCTGATTGGAAGGCGCTAAGATGCAGTGGTTGCTAACAAGGCGTGAATGGTGACAGGTGGCCTCTTCAATCCCGAAGAGAAAATTCAAAGAAAGCTGCAGCCAAGCACCTGCCCGATGGAAACACAGGACGCAAAGGCGTTCCCACAGGGAAGTGTGCCCTGCTCCTGCCCGGGGCTGCGTCCGACCGGCGGCTGCGGCGTTGGCCACAGGACACGCGACGCAGCCTTTGAGAATCGCTCTCCTTTGTGGGAAGGGAAAGAGGGAACTCAAACCCTCAGGAAGAAAAAGAAATTTCACGGCACCATCACCCAACCTTTCCAGTTTTCCAGCCAGAAATTTTAGAAGCCGAGTTCTACTAAAACGCCCTTTCCCCTTCCTTCCTTTCTGGAGCAGCTATGAGCTGCTGTGACTCGGTCTACTCAGCTGTAGTTACTGCTGATCACGGAACACCGAAGCGGTTTCTGAGGTTCGAGGATAAGGGCCAAACTCAGAAAAAATGCGAGGGCGAGGCAGGTGGGAAAGGTGCACCGGAGAGCGGTGTCCCCAGGGCCCCACGTATTCCCGGTGCCACCCCCGACCTGTTACACTAACATCCCTCAGCTGCTCCCCCCACGCCAGCACACGGCACCACGCCAGCACACGGAGCGGGCGCGCGGCATCGTCAGGCGGCGGCTCAGCCCCTCAGCGCCCGGCCCGCCCGGGGGCGCTGACCTGAGCGACTCCGTGGTGTTGATCAGGGGCCGGCAGGGCGGCGGCGGCAGGTACAGCACGGGCTCCTCGCTCAGCACCATCAGGGCTTTGTCATCCGAGACCGCATGGTCGTACCTGGAACAGACGTGAACACACGGGTCTCCTTGCACCCCACATTCCGGAGGACTTTGCTGTGAGAAAGTCAGCCCTCATATTCACTTTTTACTGACACAGAAACACAGGGAAGAGAACACTCTGTAAGACCGAAGCAAACGTATAGACCGCAGAGCACAAACGTCACCTCCTGGTTTCCTACAGGGAGACCACGCCCTCCGTTCACGCAGCCACCGCTGACGGGGCAATCGCCACGTGCCAGAGCGAGGGGACAATAATGGCGTGGGGCGCACACCCTCAGCGAGCCCCGGGCACAGACGGTGCTGCTGGCACGGCACACGGGCACCACGGAAACCCCGACAGACAGGAGGGACAGCAGCACGTGACCAGGACCGAGACCCCGTGGTCACCAGAGCTCTGTGACAACAGGACAGCCAGCCTCCTCCACACCACGTGTGCGGCAGGGAGAGAGGCCGAGGGCGCTCGCAGGGGAAACGAGGGCGCTGAAGAGCTGACCGAGGCCCCGGGCCCCGGGAGTGCGGTCACTCCTACGCAGGTGGGTCAGACCCACGCACCGCACTGCTCTCCCCCACGGGGCCAGGTCTGGGTGCGTGGCAGGACGCAGACCCGAGCAGGGAGCCAGGCTGGCCCTGGGGACATGCCTGCTGGTCCCTTCAGCCTGCTCTTCAGACCTCCCTCACTGAGACCCCGGAGGTCTGTCCTGGTGCCTTACAGAGGACACTCGGGACTTAGAAAACCACATGCGCCAAAGCCAAAAAAGCGCACCTGGCACTGGGCGAGGTGCCAGGAACCCAGCAGGAGCCGAGGGCAGGAGCAACGCGGCCCCCCTCCGCAGACGTTAATGTGGAAGACGGACCAAAGCAAGAAAACCCGACCCGGGGCAGGAGCTGAGAGCGAGAAACCCAGCGCACTGGGGTCAGCGAAAACGGCCCGAGAGGAGACAGGGTCTCAGTCGAGGCGGCCGCCCGAGAGCAGCCTCTGGAGAATGTCCGCACGCGGGGAAGCTGGTGGTTCCTGGGCTCCGAAGGCAGCCGCTTGGCAGCCAGGAGCCGTGAGCCTTCTGGTAAACCACCACGGGCGAGGCGGGACTGTGCTTGCGGTCGCAAGGCGGCCGGGGGTGGGGGGGAGGCTGGGAAGGGGCCGTGGTGAGCCAGGCGTTGCGGGGGACAGCCCCTCCGAGGGTCAGCAGGGAGGACCGAGATGGGGCCTAGCACGGCTAACCTCGCTGGAGGGGGGCATCGAAGCAGCAGTGGTAGAGCGGGGGGAGGGGCCGGGGGGGCTCGGTGAAGCGGGGGGCGAGGTTGCCACATGGCCAGTGCCGGCGCTGAGGCCGGGAAGTTGCAGAGATCCCTGCAGGCCCGAGTCTGAGACACAGGCGTCTGGGCGGAAGCGAGTCCGTGGTGCCGTTGGACAGAGGGGCACGCGGGGGCGTGTGGCACCACGGCTGAGGCCCAGGCAGGAGGAAACCGGCGCCCGCGCTCCGGCCCTGGGAGCGGCAGCCCAAAGAGGCGGCAAAGAGGACGTTCCAGGAAGGCCTCACCCGCAAGGAGCACGAGGGGCGGCTGAGGGAGAGGGAGGCAGGTCTCCGCGGGGTCTGGCCGCACTGCAGCCGCTGCCCCGCCCCGGCACGCACAGCCGGCCGGAGGGAGACGTGACTGCAGGTGAGAGGCCGCACGGGGCCTCGCGTGAGGCCGCAAAGCGGCTGCGGGGCTCGCCCAGGCCTTCTTCCCGCAGCGTCAGTCCCCTCCGGCGAGGCGGTCTGGGACGTGCGGTCCAGCTGCAGGGGTCGCGGCCACGCCCACAGAACCCGGCAGCCCCGATTCCAGGGCCGATTCCAGGGCCGAGGGGGCGGAGGAGTCTGTCTCGTGCCAGAAGAGGCCTCGGTGGCGCTCAGACCCGAGAACAAAGACCTGCCCCTGACGCACTGTTTCCGAAGTCGGGTCTGACGCCAACAAAACGCAAACGCTGTTGTCCGTCGAGGCCCAGGTGGCTCTGAGAATGCGTTTCTGGTTTATAATTTTATTTCCATGCGATAAAACCGAGTAATGATTTCTGCACATCTGTGCTGACTGGCTTTGTTCTATCCGCCAAGAATGTTCTTTGAAAAAGAAAGAAAAATCTGATAGAAAAAAACACCAGGAAAGAGGCCTGGTGGAGCCAAGGGGAGGAAAAGGAGCCTCTGGCCAGCGCCCATCTGGGGACAGCTGGACCCCGGTGCCCGGCTGCAGCCATTGCTCCCGTGGCCTGTGCCCTGCGCGGGCAAAGCCTGAGCACATGAAGCCCCAGCGGCCACGGCCGTGCGGGGGGCACCGCAGGGCATACAGGCGGGCTGGCCGGCACCCCCAGGGGTGACCGGCACTTTCGCTCCCCCAGCTCGGGCCTGGCTGGTGCCCGGCAGCCAGCGAAGCCCCAACTCACGCTGCCTGTCGTTCTCAGAAGTGCTCCTGCGGGGCCGACGGAACTCGGGCCCCCGACCCCGCACCGCACAGTTGCGAGGCCAAAGCAGGTGCAGGTGCCGCCAGACAGCGGTGAGCACGGCACCTGCCACACACTACCGGCTGGAGTCTACCTCTCCTTTGAACCAGTGCTCATAAAGCTCCTAAAAAATGAAACATACCATAAAATAAGCTGTGATAAAAAAACAAACACAAGTGTCATGGCAGAGGACAAGGAAGTCACCTAAAATTTCATTGAAAACAAATCCGCATCTCCAGCGCTTGGCTGACTGGCATCTCCATCAGCCCCACAGTGACGAAAGCAAGGGCAGCGCCTGCCGGGCCAACGCTCACGTAAATCTCCCAGTTGCTGAACGATAATCTTCGCTATTTCAGGGCACTCGCATGTAGCACGAATCTATCATCGCTCCCATTTTTACCAGACCTGTAACCCATGCGACGCACCGGCGTGGGGACTCGGGGTGGGGACGGACGGATGGCTCGCATTTCATGTCCTGCTTTGAAAACTGGTACGTGACAGGGTGGAAGGCACCCAGACTCGCGGCTGCGCCAGGGTGACCAGAGCACACACCTCCCGGGAGCCCCCAGTGCGGGCCACCTGAACCGCAGCGCCAAGTGCCTGATTGAGGAGCTATGCGTACTGAGGGGACACACTCTCAACTCTCCTAAATCCAAACACTGTCCCATGTAAAGTGTAACTTTTGAAGGGTCTCATGCAGACAACAGAACTCAGCATCACAGACCGTGGATGGCAAAGCTGGACAAATAAAATGGCAAAACTGAAGACACTATTAAAGCCCAGCAACACGAAGAGATGCCACTTTACGAGCTGTCAGCTCAGCTTCCCAAGTCAGGAGGCGCCACGTTCTCTGACACCACGGCATCGGCCGCGCTCCATGCTGCACAGTGACCGCCACAGGACTCCTCGGAGCCCCGGCCACGCCTCGCGCAGGGCCGCGTGGCGCAGAGTCCTGGAAAGTGGGCCGCCTGCAGCCCTGACCTCGCGCCAGGTGGGGGTGCGGGTGTGGCAGCCAGCAGAGCGACTGCTCTCGGCCCTGATGCCTCTGCGTCGAGGTGACCCAGCCCTCAGTGATGCTCACGCGTCACCCTGTGCCCCCACGTCCCCTCTGACCTCCCTCCGCCTTGTCAGTCAAGGACTCTTAATTAAAATTTCAAGTAACACAGGGAAGTGTTTATCAAAAAGGGCACAGCTCTGAAAATGCCCACTAACTCCACTGAGCAGTTAACTTCCAGAGAACACGACAGAGAAATTCCGTTTCCATAAAGTTGTGTCTCTCGCTCTCGACGAGCCACGTGAAGCGTTGCCAAGGCGGTGTTAAACTGCACGGCCCCAGCAGCGAGCAGGGACGGCCTTGCCTGGGGGCGGCAAACTGGGTCGCCCACGGCGGTCCAGACACTGGACGCCTCACGTGTGTGAACATGTGACAAATTCGATAGCCACATTACAGACATTATACCGTGCATATACTGTGTTCCGTATAACGTGGACATACTATACTTGGTTCAAGACGTACATTGATAACAAAACCTGAGATTCTAAGGCTGCACATCGACGAGAATTCTAGGCAGGAGAAGTTTTCAGAAAACCAACGCAGCCCGCAACCCGACTGCAGCAGCACGCGCACAGCCCGCCCAGCGCCCGTCTGCTCCCGGCCACGCAGGCGGCAGCGCTGCGAGGTAGGCGACGCCGCCGGCGCCCCCTCGGCCTCGCGGCTCCGGCTCCGCACACCCGCCTCCTCACCTGGAGCTGTCTTTCCGGACAGCGCTGTCCGATGTGTCTTGCCCCTCCTTGGCGGAAAATCCGAGAAGATGCCGCCTCTGATGTGCAGGGCTCACGCGAGGACTCGCTCCCCTGGAATCCGGCTCCAGGATGCTGAAGGTGCAGAGATGCAGAAGAGGAGGTGAAACCGCAGTAGGGCGCCCGGCGGGGAGGCATGCGGGGGGGGGGCGCGCACAGCCCGAAGAGTACACGCCCGGCCTGGCCTCCACGACGCAGGGAACAGCTCCGACGATAAAGTGGATGAGGGGGAAAGTGCCTTACGCATAAGCCGTTTAAACAAAGTCGGCCTCTACAGCCTTTTAAAACCCTGTGTCAGCACGTCCTCCAAGCAGGAACGCACAGCACACACGTGAACACGCTTTAAACTCCCACGACGACTAGAGCAGGAAGCTCTCCCGTGAGGAGACACGGCAAAGGGAATGGAACTGCCCTGTGTCAACAGCCAAATCCAGCAGCCTTTCACGGCCCAGCGGGCAGGCTACCACCTAAAGCAACACAAATGCTGCGTCAAGCCTTCTCTCTATTTACATGTAAAAACTTCCGATTTACCTCTCCTTTCACCCACTCTTCCCCTAATCTCTTCTTTCACCAACGGGTGTTCTCTGGAGGGGCCCAAGGATGGGGGGCACGGAAACACAGGCACACACACGTGCGCACACACGTGCACACACCTATCAAACGCTGCAGCCGTTCCTAACACTTCCCACACACTCACCCGCTGGCCGCGGGCGTGGACGCCTGGCTCAGCGGCGGCCTTGGAGGTGCGCTCCGCCTCCCGTCCCACCCCGGGGTCCACGCTGGGGTGCACGCGGCTGTGGCTGCAGGGCGGCACCGGGGGAGGGAGACCGGTCCTGCCTGAAGGGGGAGAGGGCAGGCAAGGGCCCGGGGCTCGGAAGGAACGAGTCTTCGGGGCCCAGAGTTGGCCTCCAAATCTGAGGAAAGGCAGTCAAAAGTGGCCATTTGTGTGCTGCCTGGGTGATTCCTAAATTAAATGAGCTCAGAATCAGTAACCCTCGCGAGTTCCTAAAGCGCCGTCCTGTGGCGGGCCGTTCGGTCGCTGTGACGGCCACACGACACCGGCCAGCTCCCCTCTGAGTGACGGCTGCGCAGGCTGTGCCAGGAGCTTCACAGCCAGGCCGCCGGCTCCCACCCGGCCGGCGCCGCCACTCGGCCGCCAGGCCTGCTGCAGGTCACGGGTCCCCGCCGGCCACCCCCCAGCCACCGTGACTACTGCCCCAGCCTAAGGACAGACGCCTTCCACCACAGCTACCGCAGTGACTTTTTTTTTTTTTGTTTTTGGCCAAAGGGCTCAGAGCTCGCCCTACACCTCCCAGGCGGCCCTAACGGCCCTTCCACGGCCGCGTCACTGCAGGACGGCAAACAGGAGACGAGAGGGCGTCAGGGTGGGCACAGCGGACGAGCCCAACAGCCTGCGAGTCCCAGTGTTGTCACCCGCCCGCTGGCCCAGGGTGTGCTTTTGAAAGGTCGTATGTTGAGACATTTCACAATGAATCTTTTAAAGTTTTTCACTTAATTTTTAAGTTGTTTTTGTCCCTTGTCCTCCATTCCATGCTTTTTAAGTATTAATGTGAAATTTTTCTTAAGCTGAGTTACAGACAAGACAACAGTCCAGTTCAGCTCAAAGAAGCTGTCCATGCTTCACGCCCAGGGAGCGCCCGCACAGACCGGCCCGAACCACCCGAAGGGCGGCAGGCTCACGCTCGCTGCTCCCCCGGCGTCTGGACCCCGAGGGGCCCCGCTCCCCTGCGGGGGTCAGGGCTGTCAGCGCCCAGGGACGCTGCGCTGGCAGGAACACGAAGGCGGCGTCCAGCGCCCTCCCCCGTGCGGGGCAGAGGCACAAAAGACGACGAGGAAGTCGCCGCCGCTGTGAGCGCTCAGATGCTGGGCGTGTGCGTTTTGGCATCATTCGATGCCCCTTCTTGCTGATTTTGAAAATAAATGGCCAATAGTGTCACAGTAAGTGACACAGCACATTTCAATGACTAGTCCGTGGTATTAGTGAGAGATTGATCACACTCTTCGTGACCAGCTTAAACCACGCTCTCCTCAGTCCTTCAAAACAAAGCAATGAACGTCAAGAAAACAGTCCTTCTAGGATCAGAACTCCACTCCTCGCTACCACGCAAGTCTCGACAGTTTCCAGCCACAGAAGGACCCTAACCAACAAACTGGCTCACGCTGCCAGCCAAGGGGCCGGGGAAGCTTGGACTGATAAAACACAGCTAATTCCAATTTCCCCCAAGGCCTGAAAAGGTATTACAAGAATTGTTACTTTACTTTTGCATTTATGAAATTCTAAAAGCCAACGACTGTTTCAGATTATCTGCGAAGCCACTGATGCCTTGAGATGCGATTTCGGGGACCCAACGTCCATGCTGAGGAGCTGAGCAACAAGGGCACGTCTCCAAACCGACTCTGAGCCCCACAAACCTGCCTCCTCACAACACAGACAGGACAGCCGCAAAGTCAGCCGCCTCAGCAGGTGGGCACCGCCCGGCTCTCGTCCCCAGAGACGCCCCACACATCTGCGGCCGCTGACCTGCGCGCCACACGCGACCTCTGAACTCCAAGACGCTGATCTTTGGCTCTGTGCCCAGGGGCGGGAAGAGCCCGGAATCTGAGCCTGAAGGCCTGGGTCGGGGTGTGGCCCCGAGACGCCCCGCCCTTGACCCCTTACCTCCCAGGGAAGTGTGAAGGTTCACAAGGCCCGCGCACCTGCAGGCGGCAGCACCGCTTGGGGTCGAGCCCGCCGAGCCTGCGAGGGTTACTCTCCACCGCACCCGGTCAGACTCAGACCGCCGGTCAAAGCTGAGCAGCCCGCAGGCGGCTCCGAGCTTCCTCCAAGCTCCTGCCTCTGAGCCCCCAGCCGCGCCTCCTGTCCCCCCTGGACCTGCTGCACCCACGCGGCCACAGGGCCTTTGTCTCCCCCCCAGCCTCTCGGCTGTGGCTGTTCCAGCTGTGCACCCCCAATCCCCACCCTGTGGGCACCGCTCACTGGGAAGCTTTGGTGGGTTCAATGCCAACCACGCGGTGACCCCGACTTGCAACTACAACCCCAGCAAGCTGCCCGCGCCCCCGCCGGCTGGCAAAGCCACCCGCCCTCCTTCATCCCCTTGTTCAGAGAACTGACACCTGTGCCCTTGCACGTGTTCCGCTCACTGGCTGTGTCCCTGCTAAGGTGTAAGCTGCCCCTTCCCTCCAGGACTGGGCCCGCCCACAGGAAGCATCCCTTCCCCCATTAGCAACAAACGAATGGCTCTGTGCTGAGGAAAATCCATCAGGAGAACGACCTCAGAGCTCGGAAATGGCGGGTGGCGGTGTCACGGGGTCATCGCCTCCAGACCCGCGACGGGGGGGCGGTGGGGGACCCCGTCCCCGTGGAGGCCGAGCACGGTGCTCTCCAGGGAGTGCTGAGAGCCCCGCTGGTGTTTCCCTGTGTTTGGAAGGGGGCCGGGTGGTTTCTGCAGGCCAGGTGCCCGGGGGGATTTACCGGCAACCAAACGTGACTGAAAAAACGGGTCTTCACATCGAGACAAAACCACCCCCGAAAAAGCAGCTCTCGGGACGGGTTCCCAGGCCCCGAGCAAGACGTTCACCGCACAGCAGGCCCGGGGAGCTGCTGTCTCCCGCTTCCGCGAAGGCCGAGACCCCAGGAAGTCAACCAGCTGCACACGATGGACTCTAGCCATTTTGTAAAGCAAAGGATGAAATCCACGGAGGCGGAGAGAACGGAGAGCCACGCACTGCGCCCGGCCCGAGAATCCCGTGCGCCCCGCGGGGTGGGCGTGGCCCGGGTTCAGCAACACCGGGCTCGGCCATGCCTGGCGCCCAGACACCGCGTGTCTCCAGCTCGCGTGTCGCTCTGCTACATGGGGGAGGCACTGCCAGCCAGGAACTGGAATTAGATTTAAAAAGGTGGCTGCACAAAACCACGTGTGGCTGGGGTTTGCATTCTGACATCGGAGTCACACCGCGACTCGGGGCCCACAGCCGCGTGACGGCGCGCACCTGGGGCCCATGACGGCCCCAGAGCCGGACCCGCAGAGGCTCGTCTCGGGAAGAGGCCGAGCAGACGCAGACAGCAGAGAGGCCGGAGGAGGGGCTCCGCTCCTCACCAGCTCCAGGCCCACGCGGCGCCGCGCCCCTCGCTCGCCTTTCCCGCCACAGCTTCCCCCGAGAAAAGCAGAGGAGCTGCCCGTCGGGAGTGGGGCCACCCCCGCCCACCCCGGCCCATCGCCCCGCTGCTTGGGACCTGTGGGGACGCAGCTTCCTCGTTTGTGGAAAAGGGGACAGCGGTGGCGTCACACGGGGAGGGGCACGTGGCGACAAAGTCCACGGAGGCCGCCCTTTGCCGTCCCATCCAAACGGGGGGCCCAGTGTGTCCCCAGCTACAAAGCAAGTCTACACACACAGGCGTCCGTCCAGAGAGCCCACAGACAGACCTCCTTACGCACGTCGTGCTCCGAGCTGGTGGGCGGGTGCCCTGACCACCACCACAGGGGCCAACGGAAAGAAAAGGAAAAAAAGGAAAGGAGAGATGGAACCTGAGAACCAGGGAACAGCCCGAGGACCCGCATCTTCTCTACACAAGCGTCGCCCACCCCCCCCCCCCGGCCCCACAGGGCTGGCTGGCTCTGCCGGTCTCCCGGCTCCGTGGGAACCCGGGCACCAGCCGGCTGGGACCGCGAGGGGAAGGCCGCACGCAGCAGCCCAGCCCAGCCCAGCGTTCGGGGGGCAGGAGCACCAGGCGCGCGTGATGGGAGCCGGAGCCTGCCCTGACCCCGGCCCCCCACCCCCAGCTCTCAGCACCACTCAGGAGGCGACAGCCGACGGTGGACAACGGCGAGGGGCGCGCGGACCGACGCTTCTCCAGCTGGCTCGTCGCCGTCCTGCTTCCTAAAGGAGTATTTTTAGCACAACCTGTTGTTGGTCAAACTTTATGTTGCTAACAGAACCTTTCCAAAGTTCTTTTTTTCCCATCAAAATTAATGTTTTTTCCCTTTCTCTTCCCTTACCTCCCCCTTTCCTTCAACTGACTCAACCGTCCTCCTACAAAGAGAACGGCTCTTCCG